TTTTTTTTTTTTTGTGGTAGAAGTTATCGTGAAAGCGCCGTTAGTCTTAGTCACCCTTTCTAAGCCCCTCTCGGCCATCTAGCTACTAAAACCCTCCTTTAGAAAGTTGTTCGTCGGAACTCTCCCGCACCCAAACCCCGAAACAATTTTGTGAACATCGAATTTTTTCCTAGAAGCCCATTATGTTCAAATAGGACAAATATGCAATTGCATGGAAAATATGTGAAGTCAAATGCTTGAGTCACTTGGATTAGAGTTGAATGAGAAGGTGCATGAATCAGCTCTATGTCCAGAAATAGTTATTATAGTAAATATTATTGTCCCATTTCTTGCACGACTTAATGTGTAGATCTTTGTACCTCTCGCCCAACATCCACGATTGAAAACTGGGGACGTGCTCCTTGTAGTCTTCACATCGGAAGTAAGTTTTTAGATTTTCCAGTGACTGTTTGTGTGAAGAGCAGGCGGGGATCTAGGATAAACGATGACCGATTTCCGAAACAATGAACGCCGAAGATGCAAGCTTCTAGAGCGGTCGATGCTCCCCAGGAAATGTTATGGATTTCAACTCCTTGAAGTCGCCTTTCCTGCGTTTCTAAGTCGTTCTGAAAAGTTTGACCAATTTTCGTAAAAGGATGGAAACCGTTATGGATCCGCGCCTGAAGCCGAGTGTTTTCTACTTTCTTGCATTTCGTTGATACATGCATTCCGTAAAATGCAAACAAATTTGTTCTCAAACTGCTATGAGTGTTACATTCAGACTGTACGAACAGTTTTACCTCTTTGCATTTGTAGTTGTTGTCAGGGTGTTTCTCTGATAAAATCTCCAAACCCTGCCGCAAAGCCATTGAAGTACTCAATTGTAAAAATACACTCTTTTTCGATAAGAATACCGTAAAATCCCACGTTAAAGCTCTGGGCTTATATAACTTAATAAGGGGTTTTGGGTAGGCTTATAAACGGGGGAAGCTCCTTATATCCGACTGAATAGAAAAAAATGTTTCGGAACGACGAGATAAAACGTATCTGAGAAACGAATTAAAGCTCACATACCATTATATTTAGAGCTTTTACCCTATTACCCTATTACCCCAGTACCCTAAGAATGCACATATGCATTAGATGAGCTTATATCCGGGGGGCTTATATTAGGGGGACTTATAACCGGGGGCTTTAAAGTAGGATTTCACGGTATACTACAAAAACATCCCTTCCAATGTAAAATTCTCATTTTTCCTCAACAAAGGAAAAAATCACCCTACGTTGTATCGTTCGGCCATCTCTTCTACACTCAAACGTTGTGGGTTTGAATTTATAGTTTCGCGCGCTGACTCAGACAAGGAGCTGATAGTGAAGAACTCAACTGACTTCGCCTCCACCATCGCCAGTGAAGAGATCCAGGACCACGAGATCATGGTGATTATCGCCTGAAGAAGACTAGCAGTAAGAAGTCTAAACGTCGCGATCTACATCTCAAGTGAATACATCGTGAGACAAACGATAATACGCTTTATTATATTAAGGAGCTGATAGATATGATAAAACTTTCCATAGCTGCGGTCTTAGGGAAGTTTGACTGAGAACATGATTAGTCCACTGAGGAAGCAAGGCTAACAGGGCTAGAAAACGTCGTGTACGTAAAAGGTCGATAGGACGGGCGGTATTTGGGCTCGTTAGGTCAAATTTGCTTTGTTTGCAATAAAGTGATAATTTCCTGCAAACTGACGCTCAACGTCATAGGTAGTTTTTCGCGTTTTACGTAACTCAGATCTAAGTTAGCATGAAAACTATGAATTAACATCTGCAATGTTTATAAAAAATTTTTGTTCTTCAAAAGGCGAACTTGAATTTGAAGCACAACTGCTGTTTTCGTAAGAGAAATTTAAGCCGCTTTATCAGTTTTAAGCCGCGTTATCAGTTCTACTCTTCATACCGAAGTAGGCACAATGTAAAATACGTTTCATGTAATGATAAAAAAAAAAAATACAAGTTTTTGATTTTAGAGTCTTTTAATAGCATCTATAAAATGTTTAAAATCAGATCTGCCCAAAAAGTTTGACCGATCTTATAACTAACTTAGGGGAGCTAGGAAAAAATATCAGTCTGCTTATCAGAATTAGTTTATTTGATCTGCGTAATAGACCATTTTACAGTTGTCTGCTAAGAGACCTGGCCTTTGGATGGCAGCGAGGCTGGAGTTGACTTTGTTTTGATACAGACCTCATTGTTTTTGTCATGTAAATGCACCTAGTTAACNGTCAACTCCAGCCTCGCTGCCATCCAAAGGCCAGGTCACTGAGCAGACAACTGTAAAATGGTCTATTGTTCCAAACTGTGGCAATGTGAATGCAGCTCTAGAGCAGACCTGCAGAAGGGAAAGGCTTTCCCTTCTGCAGGTCTGCTCTAGAGCTGCATTCACATTGCCACTGCACACTGACTGGCTCACTGCACACAAGTTAGGATCCAGGATCCATATGCTGATTATCTGCATTGCAAACTGCACTGAGTAGGAAACCAGGTGTTCGGCGGGTCGCACTTACACTCACAGCCAAATAAACAGTATGAAGGGCACCAGGCCCAACAACCAATCCGTCGTTTTTGGCGACTAACGGCAGCTTCTGAAGAAAGATAGGGGTGTTCTTTAATATCAAACCGTACGATTGAACACAAGTCCTAATTATCATGACCTGCATGTGTCGGCCCAAAGCAGCCAACCCGATGCGACCCGAAGCATCCCGCTGCCTGTAGGACAAAACAACAACAACAACAACAACAACTGTGGTCCCCGGATACCTAGGCAGTGAAGAGTGTTATCAGGAAAAATATACGAAAAGAATAAAAATGAAACAAATGTGCATAAACAATTCAATTAAAGAGTTAATATTCGATGTATGCGCAAGTTGCTGAACACCTTAAAGATTCTATCAGAATGCTGCAGCTGTTATACAACTTATACGAATGTCCGGGCGGGACTGAGTCTCATTTCATGTTACACGAGAGAGGGACTGGAAAAAAGCCCTGTCAACAACGAGGCCATCCTCGGAGACCCAGGGGCTGCTAGTCGGGACGTTGCGATAATTTTGGGGGAGCGATATCTATTTTCAGGCTAAAGTTTACTTCAAGAGCGGGAGAGCCCCCTCTCCCGTTCATGAAGTAAACTTTCGCCCAAAACTATCGCGTCGCCAGGAAATATCGCTTCGTCCCGACTAGCAGCCCCCTGGCCCTGGGTCTCCGAAACTATCGCGTCGCCCGAAAATATTGCTTCGTCCCGAGTACTAGCTCCCCCTGGCCCTGGGTCCCCGAACCAGTGATATTCTTGTTCAGTATCCCGCCGAGACAAAACGGTCAAGCTGTGTTGCCTGTTTCTAATCCGAAAAAGGTTCACCAAAGTAGTTTATTGGCGACCTATCTGCGACTCAACACTTCACAAAAATTATAACATACCTTCACTTGGCGCAGTAAACGTTGCTATGGCAACAGCAACCAGGAACAAAATCACCAGGCGATTCATAATTAGCTAAAATCGAAGAATACAAGAGATTATGAAGAATATTAATATTATTTGCCTATATTGTTATGTTTAGAAATGTTTGATAATAATGACACTTTGTAGCCAATTTTCTCACCAGTGTAGATTCACATGCATTTGATATACTGACTACCAATAGTCTACAAGCAAAGAAAAAAAGAAATAACGCTTATTTGAAATGTTTGTCTTGTCTGCAAAGCTTGATCTGAGAGGGAAGTCTGCTCAATTTTTAAGAAAGCGGTGTCTGACCAATATTCACAAGAGAATGCAAGGCAGACCCGGCTTTGCTCGTGATCATTGCCAGTAGCCATATGCTAGCTGTTGAAAAATGGTTTCGCAATTGTCTCTTAGTGTAAGGTTCTTAGAGTCTTTTCTGGTGCTAAAGGCTCGGTCGAAAACTTCAATGTTCACAGACAACCTTGTTCTCTTCATATAAGCACTACCAGCTGCGGCCTCGACGGACTTCATATGATAAATAGATTGTGTAAGACTGCGTTTTTGTAAAACACTCTGTCAAAAAAATATACTTACTGCACTTTGAGCAACTCTTTTCTAGTCCACAGATGGCTTGTCTTTCTTCTGCTCAAATGGCTTTTACGCTATTTCCTCTATACGGTGTTTCATATGCGTTTCTCTCTTCTGGGTGTGACGACCATAACGCGTGACAGATCATTCCGTTACACAAGAAGTCCATGACTGATGTATCTCTTGTTGCGCTTACACAATCAGTTGAAAAGGAATTAACTGACAGAAAGTGATGAGCCAAATGGCAATTGCCATTGTTCACGTACACAGCGAAGACAATCTTATTGCGTAAACTACAAATTCATCTGTTTGGCCGATACAGGTTTACTGTATAGATATTTCAAATTAGTTTGAAACTTAACCCTAATCTTTGCTTAAAAAGATCGCTCATATTTTAGGTTCATTGTTTAGTTTTCATTGTCCATTATTTAGCTTAAAGTATCAAGGAAGCTTGGTAGAATCTACTGTGATATTAATTAAGACCGGATCGACAGACGAGATCGGTTGAAGCACCAGCAGAAGTGATAAATTTATACTTCACGTTGAAACGGGGTTAAAGACCAACCCCTTTAGCGTATTCAGCAAACAAAATTACGCTCGGCTGTCACTGTTCCTTAGTTTTGCTGATGTATCTCTCGTTGCACTACCCAGTCAGTTGAAACAGAGTTCAAAACATGATCAGCCAAATGGCAAGTGCTGTTCACGTACCCAGCGAAGAGAATCTTATTGCGTAAATCACAACGAATAATTAATCTGTTTGGCCGATACAGTTTTGCTATATAGATATTTCAAATTAGTTTCGAACTTAACCCTAATCTTTGCTTAAAAAGATCGTTCATATTTTAGGTTCATCTTTTAGTTTTCATTGTCCATTGTTTAGCTATAAGCATCAAGGAAGCTCAATAGAGTCTACTGTGATAGTTAGACCGGACAGACGAGATCGATTGAAGCACCAGCAGAAGCGATAAATACTTCAGTTGATTCTTCTCGTTACACGTTCACGTCGACAAGGGGTTAAAAGCAAACCTCTCATCAATGGGCCATTAGCGTATTCAGCGAAGAAAATCACGCTTGGCTCAGTTGGCTGTCACTGTTGTTTAGTTTTGCTTTAATACCTCTGACCCGTTGCTGCAGCAATGTATTGCATGACTGCCGGTTAAGTTTAAACATTCAATTCCTCATACTTTCTAAAATCCGCACGTGCGATTTATACCCACGACTAAAAATGACGGTATCAGAAAACAAACGAGTGAGCGCAGCGAACGAGTGAGTACTGTTGATGTACTGATACACCTCGAGGAGTAAGTGAGAATATATAGACAGCATTTTCTATAGTTCAAGTTGTTGTGTAAGTAAAGCTTTCTGTCTACACCTGCCACAAAATTCTTACCCAAAATCAACGTCCAAAACTCTCGATTCACCTCAAACAGAAGTTTTCGTAACCGCAACCAACCCACAAAAAGAAACAAACTTATAAAGTTTCAAACCATAAAAAGAATTTCGCACCATATCACTACATTACTTGAGTGCCCCGTCCTACTCCCTCTCCTCGCTGGAAAGAAGACTGCAGTCATTTCAAGTTAGAAAAAAAATAAAGTAGGAAAATATACAAGCAATGTAAATTTCCCTTACTAATATATTCAAGCCAGTAATCACTGTTCTTTGTAAATTACAACTGCAGCTATTTCTGATTCTATTAGTTTTCTTCCATTATCACAAGTACTGGATTCTTGGTTCAAAAAGTCCATAACCTCTTTGTAGAGAGTTTTGCCAGCTGTGACACGAAAATCTCTTTGGAAGACTAGAAAGTCTAGCAGAATAGTCCCTTCCAGCGACGAATGATCAAAACAGCTGGTAATGTCAATTTGGTTGTGAACCTTCCATAGTTCTTCATAATTCCAGTTGTTCTTCCTGGCAATATTAACAAGATCCACTTCAGTGTAAATCTTCTGAGCAGAGCCCAAATCTACTTTGTTGTGTAGCTTTCTTGACATCTTCGTGAAAAAAGATTCTTCCGGTACCACCGTACAGAACATGGCTCCACCACTAGCAAGCTTCTGGTAGCAGTAGCTCAAAACTGTTTCGGCATCCATGTAAAGCAGAGATGCGACAAAATGAATCATGTCAAACAAACTCTCCTTTTGGGGAAAACACTCACTGAACTTCTGGAAAGTCATCTCGTGCCATTCGAATGAGACATCAGCCACACCTGCTAGGGACTGTGGTAAAGGAGAAACGGAGGTCTTGAATTCTTCTATCATTTCGGCGCTTGGTTCTACGACGACGGAATGTATGGCTGCTTTTATCCGTCCGGGAAGCTCCGAACGCTTTTGCAATGCCAGTAAGAATTCTAAGATCAGTTTTACCGTTGCCGCTACCGACTCCAAGCACACGAAACACGGGGCTGCTTCTAAGCCCATCTTTAATCTTGGTCGTCACATGAGAAGCGACCTCCTCTACTAAGTCCGTCATCGTCTTCGTGTACGTGGAATTCTTCAAATAGACGTTCCATTTCGTGACATAGAGGTTTGCTTTTGATAATGAAGGATCTATTTGCAGATGTTTAGCTGTGTTCACCTAGCCTTCATGTAACAAAGAAAAATAGCATTATGCATTGATCTTATTCGGCATGCATACACCCAAGGCTAATTACATGCTAATTAACACTGCTATTTATGGTATACGGCTGTCGCATTTCAGAAGATGGACATTACGCCGGTTGACAATTGTTAGTAGACGGCTTCGAACAGTCTCTCTTTTGCGCATCATAATTTGTGCATTACAATCATTGCCCGATTACAGATCACGTGAGGTTGTCTAGACAATTAAGCCCTTTTCACGGTTACCTTTAATGTAAATTCCAAGAGTAATCCCTGAGAAGGCTATTTGCAAATTGGCGATAGTATAATTTTTTTTTTTGAAAAAACCGGTTGATTTCTACCGCTCTCCCGATCCGGGAGGTTCAGCCTAAAACTCAGTGTTAAAGAAGAGACGGCGTCGATAGATCAATTGCAATTTCGCGGACGGCAGCTTGATGGTCAATTTACCTGCATATTTAGTGCACGGTCACACACACATCGAGCAAAAGAGAGACTGTATGATTGTGGTCTAAATTCTTAGCAGCCTGGTGGCAGGAAACGTGATCTCCGCGCAAAAAGCAAGACAACAGGTGCCCTCGTTTTCATCTTCGCTCATTTTCAGGCGGTATGAAGATATGCTAGCTGGTGCACTGACAAGCCAAGCTCACGAGAAGAGGGAACCAACGTCACATTTGTTTATAAGCGGTATATTGTACTACAAACTCTCGATTTTATCTCAATGTTTTGTGATAGATGTAGAACGCGCGGATGCCCTTCGCGGTCGCCACTCGGTTTTGTTTTGGATAGTGTATACGAAAAGTTTTCGTAAATAGGAACCCAATAACAGCTCCACAACAACCTCCCACACAAGACGAGTCGATGACCAAAGTTGGGTTCCTTGTCCAACTTCCTAGCGTTCGGCGACGCTCGTTTCTTGCTTCGGCTCGGTCACCAGTGGACTGATCTACATGCATTACAGCCCAAAAGTGACTCTACTGGCAGGTTATGTCAATGAAGTTGTCAGATCCAGACCTAGTTAATATTACACTTTAAAATGTGGTATTGTTCGTGTTTGAAAGTATCGCCCTCCCTGTAGTAAAGGGAAATTTATTCACCCGTTCATTGAACCGGACTGATATGTCGAAGAGACCTTGGAAAAGGATTGATCACTACATGTCCCATTTAACTTACCTATTGACTGCAAGCAGAAACATGAAACAGCTATTATTTCACAACTTCTGAAGTGCTCAAAACGCAGAGAAACCATACAGAGTGCCCAGATCTAACGTGACTCGATCGGCGAAGAGCAGACGTGAGAGATTGCATGTCGGGAATGATCTTGATCTGCATCATAATTTGTGCATTTTCGATCATCGCTCGATTACAGATCACGTGAGGGATAGGTGAGGTTGTCTAGGCAATTTAGCCCTTAACTTTTCACAGTTAACTTTTATGTAAATGCGAGAAAGGCTGTTTGCAAATTGGCGATGGTTTAATCTTTTTTTTTTTTTTTTTTACAAAATATTCCCAGGTGGAGGCCGGTTGATTTCTACCGCTCTCCCGAGGTCCAGTCTGAAACTGTTAAAGAAGAGACAATGTCGCAATTTCCCGGACGGCAGCTTGATGGTCAATTTACCTGCATATTTAGTGTACGGTCACACAGTACAGTCACACAGTTTTGACACACGTAACGAAAGAAGAATAATGTGAAGTGCCAAGGTGACTACTGAGTCATTACAGACGCATAACACGGCCAGCTCATAGCAAGCGAAAAGACAACAGGTGGCCTCGTTTTCATCTTCGCTCAGTTTTCAGGCAGTATGAGGATATGCTAGCTGGTGCACTGACAGGCCAAGCTCACGAGAAGAGGGAACCAACGTGACATTTGTTTATAAGCGGTATATTGTGCTACAAACACTCGATTTTATCTCAATGTTTTGTGATAGATGTAGAACGCGCGGATGCCCTTCGAAGTCGCCGCTCAATTTTGTTGGGGATAGTGTATTGCTTGGTTTCAGTGTCACACAATTCAAAATAGATCAAAATAAAAATCAAAACCGGTCAATAGATAAAGTCCAGAATCCGGGAAATGAAAGAAGGTAAATATGCAA